TGTTATCTGTATGTAGCGTGTTCTCTGTATGTAGCGTGTTCTCTGTGTGCAGTTCTCTGTATGTAGCGTGTTCTCTGTGTGTATGCTGTGCGTGTTTATCTCTGTATATCTCTCTGTGTTTAGCCCTGTCTATGCAGCGCCCTCTGGCTCTCTGTGCGGCAAACTGTCGTGATTAACAAGCGTGCTCCCCCCCACCCCCCCCCCCCCTCCATGTCCGTCGCCACTCCCAGCGGTCCCCGTGCCCGACCCGTACGGCTCCCAGGGCCGTCGGCCCGGCTGCCTCCCGACCCCTACGGCCGGGGGCCTCCCACGGGTCTGGCCGCCTGGGCAGCATGAGCCAGAGGCACCCGTACCCCTACGCGCCGGGCTACGACCGCCGGTGAGGTTTCCCCCCCGCCGCCGCCGCCGCCCCACACTCACCGATCACGATGCCACCTGGCACCGCTTCGTCGCGATTGGACGTCGCGGTTCACGCGAGAGTCGGTTCGCTTCTCGCGCTGCCCAACCACCCCCCCCCCCCCCCCCCCCTCGTGTGCCGTCTACGGCCTTCGTAGGTGCTGCTCGCTCACGCACTTGGCCCCGGCAGTCTGCGTGAAGGCTTTAAGAGGGGGACCTTTGTCTTTGTATCCCCTGTGGTGGGGAGCGGTGGCGCGGTGGTTCACGAACCCGGCGTGCCGAGTTCACTTCCCTCTCGTGGCGAATATCGGTGACGATGATCTGAACCGGTCCCCAGGTTAACTGGGGATGTTTGCCACACCCAGACCCCCTCACGGGTGTGCCGTGCCGGCCTTCTTAGGTGCTGCTCGCTAACTAGCACTTTCCCCAGCAGCTACTCTTGCCCCCCACCGGTCTGTATGGTTACACGGGGAACTTTGTCTTTGTGCGGTCAGGCAGAACACGCGCTGTCGGTGGAGGCCGGAGTGGGCCCGGTAAACCCGCTCGTCCCGCCGTCCGTGGCGGACCCCGGGATTACTCCCCCGGGGGCGCGGGCCCCCCCAGCCCAGGTGAGGCCACAGCCTGGCGGTCCGCAGGGGCACGGGTAGCTGGGGGCCCCACGGGGAGAGCGAACGAGAGTGGAGGAGGCCTTGTCGTCAGAACCGTGGAGGATAGTGATAGCGAGGAGTGATTAGCACGAAAGAAGTTCAACATCCATGTATGTATGTAAGTATGTTGAATCGGAGGTGCATGCGTAAGGACAACAAACCAAAAGCAGTTCTAAAGAAATTAGTTTTCAAGCTAGATTTAAAAGCGCATAGCTCAAGTTGCTTCCTAAATGTCGCAAGAGCGTTCCAGACGGCCGCCGAAGCGCATCTGAAAGCGCGCCATGCAGTGACCGCCTTTTGTTCGATGGCGAGATAAAAACAAATTATAGGGAGGAAGAATGGAGAGAAGGCGGGGAGAGAGGGATGGTGCGAGAGGGAGGGTCAGAGGAGAGAGAGAGAGAGGAACGGGAGTGAGGGATGGAGAGCGAGGAGATAGAGGAGAGGAGGGGTTTGGGAGCGGAAGAGAGGCCTTCTTGAGGGTCCCTCGAGGCCCCTTGGTTCCACTTACCCTGTCCGGCTGCTGTGCGTGAGTTGGTCGTGGCGTTCCGGTCGGACCTCATTAAACATGCATGCCGGGTTATTTATTCATACACTCCGCTGGTGCCGCCGCCGCCGCCGGCGCGGCCACGGCTGCCGTGGCGGCTGTGGTGGCGTTACTGACGACCGCTGACGAGTGTGAAAAAACTGCCGTGGCACGCTGTGTTTACTCCGTTCAGGCACGACAACTACGGACAGCCGTACCCGGGGCAGGGCCCCCACCAGGGCCAGCCGCCCTACCCCCCCCCGGCCAGCACGCAATGTACCAGCAGCAGCAGCAGCCGCAGCCACAGCCGGTAACGCACCGATCACGCGCAGCCCTAGCCCAACGCGACACGGTTAAGCCCGACACGATTAGGCCCGGCACGGCGAGACCCGGCACGGCTAGGCCTGGCACGGCAAGGCCTGGCACAACTGGTACACTCCCGGGTTTAGCGGGAGGTGGCGGATGGCAGATCTTAGGGTGGTCGATGGACAATGTCAGATTTAAAAAGATTCAACCGTTAATTCATGACACCGTTTATTCATAAATATAATAAACATTATCAACCTAAATATACTCACCACGTCCCAGACGGCTGAAGCTCACCAAGCGACGATGTCGCGGTGGCCATGTTTTCATGGGGTTTTATCCGGCAGCTGATTGGCCGCTGCAGCGTTGGTGACGGTGTCGTCCCTGGCACAAGCGCTGCCACGCCGCCCACGGCGTCGCCATCTCACCGGCTCGGCCTCGCGTTCCCGTTGAATCGCAACGCGTTCTCTCCCACGATGTTTGGGGCCTCGTGATGATCGCACGCTTTCCCCCCCCACCCCGCGGGTCTCGCCACAGCGACACTCGCCAAATGAGGCGAGCGTCCGGGTGCTGCTGCTTCCCGTGGCCACGCCACGTGCGTGTGCGTGTTTTTGTTGCTCTGGAGACCAGAGATCGATGATCGATGTTCCGTCGCAGCGTTGATCGCATTCGTCGTGATTTCTCACTTAACAGAGTGGGCCGCATGAAGGCTGGCCATCTTCCGCGGTGTGAGATGATGACGGCGATAGTAAAGCGGCTCAGCAGCGTCTCTCGGTTAAAATTAAATATTTTTATTTACCAGGTAAGGGCCACTGAGCTGTGAGCTTATTTTTCTCAACGAAGTGGTTTTTCACGTGGAAATTTAGAGCGGCCAAATACTCTAAACGTACGTTCATTCTAAATTTTGAGAGAAAAACCAGAGGACCCGGAGAAAAATTCACGTTACCACGGGGAGAATATGCAAACTACAAATGTACAAGTGTCAGGTCTGGATCGAACCCACGACCTCCAGGCGAGGTAGCTAACATCTCGCCTCCGTGGCGCCCCAGTCACCGTAACTCCTCGTCTCCCCGTGCGTCTCCCTGACTCGCTTGCTTCTCTCCGTCTCTCCGTCTCGCAGAACTATAAGCGACCCATGGAGGGCATGTACGGCCCGCCGGCCAAGCGGCACGAGAGCGAGGCCTACGGCCTGGCCTACCCGCCCAGCCGCCCTCCGACCCCTACGCGGGCTACCCCGTGCCGGGGGCCGCGGGGGCCTACGGGGACCGCCGGCCGCCCCCCACGCACGCCCCGGCCCCCGCCAGCCAGTTCCCCTTCGGCTACGCGCCGCCCGACCGCGCGCCCCCGCAAGCCCCCCAGGCCATCGTGGGCGCCGACTCGGGCCCCCCCGGCGCAGGGGTCGGCGGGGGGCAACCGGGCTGGGGGCCGGCGCGCGCCGGGGGGGGGGCCGACGGGCGGCCCCGGGGACGCGCGTACCCCCCCTACCCGAGCCGCCCTCCTCGCAGGCCCCGCCGTACCCGGGGCGGCGGGGGGCGGCCGCGGCGCGGGCGAGGACGGGGGGGGCCCCCGCGGGGGAGCCGCCGGGCCCGCGGGCGCCGGGCGAGTGGCACTACGCGCAGAGGCCCGCGCCGTACCGGCGACGCCGGCGCCGCAGCCCCACGGCCACGCGACGCCCGGCCAGAGGCCTCAGTACCGCACGGCCGGCCCCGCCGGATACCCGCAGGTAGGTGGCGGCGCCGTCGCGCGGGCCGCACGGCGGCCGCCCCTCCCCACGCCCCGGCTCGACGCGGCGCCGGCACCGTCGCGACCGTGACCGACCGCGCGTCTCCGTGCCGCCGCCCGTAGGTGTCTCCGAGCAAGCCGCCGTACCTCTCCGCCGGCGGCGTGCGGATGCAGAAGGTGGGGCCCCCCGTGCCGGCGTCGCAGCTGCCGGGGGGCGGGCCCCCCGCGCCGCTCGCTCTGCTGCCCCCCCGCGCAAGGACCCCCCCTTCCCCCGGGATGCGTGGAGGCGACGCAGGCGGCCGTGAAGGCGCGCCGCCGCCTCACCGCCAAGGACGTGGGTGAGCAGGGCACGCGCAGCGCCGCTCTCCAGGCGCCACCGCTCGCCACCGCACATCGCTCCCCCCTCTCGCCACCGCACATCGCTCGCCATCGCTCGCCAATACTCGCCACCGTTCACCACCGCGCATCGCTCCCCGCCTCTCGCCACCGCACATCGCTCGCCACCGCACATCGCTCGCCATCGCTCGCCAATACTCGCCACCGTTCACCACCGCGCATCGCTCCCCGCCTCTCGCCACCGCACATCGCTCGCCACCGCACATCGCTCGCCATCGCTCGCCAATACTCGCCACCGTTCACCACCCGCATCGCTCCCCGCCTCTCGCCACCGCACATCGCTCGCCACCGCACATCGCTCGCCATCGCTCGCCAATACTCGCCACCGTTCACCACCGCACATCGCTCCTCGCTCTCGCCACCGCACATCGCTCGCCACCGCACATCGCTCGCCACCGCTCGACACCGCACATCGCTCGCCACCGCACATCGCTCGCCACCGCACATCGCTCGCCACCGCACATCGCTCGCCAATGCTCACCACCCCTCGCCACCGTTCACAATCGCTCCCAGCTTCTCGCCACCGCTCGCCACGACTCGCCGCTCGCCGGCACTCACCGCTGGCGACGTGGCTGTGGGAGCAGGCACCCCGGAGGCGTGGCGGGTGATGATGTCGCTCAAGTCGGGCCTGCTGGCGGAGAGCAGCTGGGCACTGGACTCCATCAACGTGCTGCTGCACGACGACGCCACCGTCGCCAGCTTCAGCCTCTCGCAGGTGCTGCCCTGCTGCTCCGCACCACCCTGCGAGCCGCACTGCACCGCACGGCACTACACCACCACCCTGCTTTATACCACCCTGCACTGCACCGCACGGCACTACACCACCCTGCACTACACCACCACCCTGCTTTATACCACCCTGCACTGCACCGCACGGCACTACACCACCACCCTGCTTTATACCACCCTGCACTGCACCGCACGGCACTACACCACCCTGCACTACACCACACCACCCTGCTTTATACCACCCTGCACTGCACCGCACGGCACTACACCACCCTGCACTACACCACCCCCTGCTTTATACCACCCTGCACTGCACCGCACGGCACTACACCACCACCCTGCTTTATACCACCCTGCACTGCACCGCACGGCACTACACCACCCTGCACTACACCACCACCCTGCTTTATACCACCCTGCACTGCACGCACGCACGCCGCACCACCCCCTGCTTTATACCACCCTGCACTGCACCGCACGGCACTACACCACCCTGCACTGCACCACCACCCTGCTTTATACCACCCTGCACTGCACCGCACGGCACTACACTACCCTGCACTGCACCACCACCCTGCACTGCACTACCCTTCACCTGATAATGTTGATGATAATGGTGATGGTGATCATGATGATGGTGAGCATGATGACGATGACAATGATAACAATGGTAATGATAATGATGACGGTGACCGTGGTGGTGATGACAATGATGATGATGATGGTGGTTGTGACGAATGATGACGGTGCTGCCGCTGCCCAGCTGCCCGGCCTGCTGGAGCTCCTCGTCGAGTACCTGCGCCGCTGCCTCATCCACATCTTCGGCATCCTGCGCGAGTGCGAGATCGGGGGTCGCGCCGCTTACGACGACGACGACGACGACGAGGAGGAGGATGAGGGGAGGAGCGGCGAGGACGGCGCCGCGCAGGACGCGGAGGAGCACGCGGCCGCCTGGGCCCCACTGGGTCGACGACGACGACGAGGAGGAGGGAGAGGAGGGAGAGGAGGGAGAGGGAGAGGAGGACCCGGGTTGGGACGAGGAGGAGCAGGAGGAGCAGGAGGAGCAGGAGGACGAGGAGGACGAGGAGGAGGAGGAAGGGAGGATGACGAGGCCTGCCCGCCGGCCCTCCCGACGACGATGTCAACGACGACGCAGGCGGTGACGGCGCCGTTGCCGCGAGGGCAAACGCCAACGAGCGGGCCGCGCGACGGGGGGGCCCGCCCCCCGCCGGCCGCCGGGGCCGTCCGCCGAGCGCAAGCGCAAGCAGGCGAGCCGCTTCGACCGGCGCCGCTGGCGCTGGCTCTGGAGGACGCGGACGGGGCCTACGTGCTGGACCGCTCGGCCCGCCTGGGCCAGCCGCGGGAGTTCGACAGCGGCCTGCGGCACTGGCGGGTGGGCGGCGGCGACACCACGTGCCACATCCAGACGCACTTCGAGCGCCGGGACGAGCGGCCCAGGAGCCCGGCGCCGCCGCGGCAACCGCAACAGTCACCGCAGCAGCATGAGCAGCAGCAGCAGCAGCAGCAGCGACCGGCGCAGCAGCAGCGGCAGCAGAACGGGCCCGTGGAGGGCGCGCGGCCCAACGGCGAGAGCAACGGCGCGCGCGCGGACGGGGAGCCGGCGGGCGGGAGGGGGCGACGCGCCGCCCGTGCGGAACGGCACGGGCGGCGAGGAAGCGGCGGAGCGAGCGGCCGGGGGCGGCGAACCGGCGCCGGGCTCGCCGGACGGCGCCGGCCCTCGCCCGGGGGCAGCCCCAAGCCGGCGGCGAGGGCCGGGAACGACGCGGACCGCAGGCCGTCGGCCTCCAGCAGGCGGGAGACGGCGCAGCGGGGCCAGCGGCAGCAGCTGGGCCAGCAGCGGAAGCGGCAGCAGATGCTGGAGGACGAGCCGCAGGGCCGCGACGAGGCGCCGCTGAGCCGCACGCGTCCCTGGCAGGAGTCGCTGGTGGGGCGCTGCGCCTGCGTCTCCAACATCGTGCGCAGCCTGTCCTTCGTGCCGGGCAACGACGCCGAGATGGCGCGCCACCCGGGCCTGCTGGTCATCCTGGGCCGCCTCGTGCTGCTTGTGCCACGTCCACCCCGACCGCCGGCCGCCGCTGCGCCAGTGCCGGCGCCCCCCGCCGGACGCCTCTGGCGACAGAAGCGGGGGGGGACGCATCGCCGCCCCGCGGCCGCCGGCGAGGCGGGGGCCGAAGGAGGAGCGGGAGGAACCGGCGGCGACGAAGGCCGAGAACGGCCGGACGGCGGACGACGGCGACGGCGCCGCGCGCCGAGCCCGCCGACGGCGCCGGCAGGACGGAGCGGAGGCCGTGCGGCGGGGGCGACGCGTGGGGGGGTGGGGGGCGTGGGCCCCGGCGTCCGTGGTGCCTGCCGCCTGGCAGGAGGAGTGGCTGCTGGAGTGCGTGGAGACGCTGCGCGAGAACGCGCTGGTGACGCTCGCACAACATCGCGGGCCGCCTCGACCTGTCGCTCTACGCCGAGAGCGTCTGCCTGCCGATGCTCGACGGCCTCCTGCACTGGCCGTGTGCCCGGCGGCCGAGGCGCGCGACCCCTTCCCGTCGCTGGCGCCGTGCGCCGTGCTCTCGCCGCAGCGGCTCGCGCTGGAGACGCTGTCGAAGCTCGGCGTGCAGGAGGGCAACGTGGACCTCATCCTCGCGACGCCGCCCTTCTCGCGGCTCGAGTGCCTCCTGAGCGCGCTGGTGCGCTTCGTGGCCGAGCGGCGCAACCCGGTGTGCCGCGAGATGATGCGTGGCGCTGCTCGCCAGCCTCGTGCAGGGCGGCGGCGCCGACGGCGTGCCGGCCCGCGCCGTGGCGCGGCACAAGGGCACCGTGGGCAGCCTCGTGTGCTTCCTCGAGGACGGGCTGATGGCTGCGCTGCAGCAGACGCAGCAGCAGACGCAGCAGACGCAGCAGCAGCAGCAGGCGCAGCAGCAGGGCGGCGGCGGGGGCGGAGGGGGCGGGGCGGCCGCCTCGCTGGAGCCGCCCAGCGTGGGACATGCTGCGGCGTGCCGCCGGCGTGCTGCTGGCGCTGGCCAGGCTGGACGGGTGCCGCGCCGAGTTTGTGCTGTACGAGGGCCGGCTGCTGGACCTCGCCATTGTCGCACATCCTCAACCCCTACATCTCCCCGTCGTGGCCGACGTGCTTTACGTGCTGGGCCACACGTGACCCCCGCCCGCCCCCCCTGCTACGCGCGGCCCGCCCCACCCCGTGTCCCCCGCCGCCCGCCCTCGGCCGGGCCCCGTGTCCCCGTGTGGTTCGCTCGGGGGGGGGGGGGGGCCCCGTGGCGTCGGCTAACGGCCGGCCTCCTCTCCGCGCTGCCCTGGCCCGTTATTTTCCTCCGCGTCTTAGTTTGTTGGTTTTTATTTTTCCCGATCGTCGAGTCCAACGCCGCCGCCTTCCGCTGGCAAGGCCCGGCCCGGAAACCTAGGAGGGGACCGGATCTCCCGCGCACTCCTGAGAAGCGGCGGACGTTCGAGGCGCCGTGCCGGGCGGGCGGGCGGGCCGGCGGGCGGCAGTGGGATGGAGGGCACTTTGCGCGTGCGCCGAGTGTTCATCACCCAGGTCCAGCCGGGTTGCCGTTTTAAAAGCCCCGAACAAGGAACGAAACTGAAACACCGGCGCCCCCCCACCCACCCCGGGGCGCCCCCTGCCCTGCGGCCGCGCGGTGCCCAAAGCGCCAGCCAATCGGTACTCCTCCTCCTCGTCGCTAGCGCCGAGCCCTGCGTTTGGTACCGGCCCAGGAGACGTGTATTTAATTATTATTGACGTGGCAGAGTTGAGGTTGTGCGACGCGTGTGTGCGACGCGTGCGTGCGTGCGTGCGCGTGTGCGTGCGTGTGTGCGCGCGTACTTGCGCGCACGCGCTGCCCGTGGTCTGGGGCCCAGAGGACGCTGCCCTGTGCGTGAAAGTGGCCGCTCGGAGCCCCGAGCCTGCCGACCTGCGTGAGGGTGGGTGACTGCGTGTGTGTGAAAGAGTGAATGTTTATATGTGTGCGTGTGTGCGTGTGTGCGTGTGTGCGGATGACTGTGCGTGCATTTCTGCCTTTGTCTAAGCGCGTTCGGGGGTGGGGGGTGATTCCGCGTGCGTGCGTGGAGGCGCGCGTGGTGGTGGTGGTGACCGTGCCGTGGACAGCAGTGGGACCCGGTGCATCGCCGGTCAGCTTTGTTACGGTGGAACTTGGGAGAGCGCCCAGTGCCAGGCCGCGAGGACGTGGAGAGCTGCAAACCGCCCGGCAGCCCGCGGCGAGGCCGTGGATTTATAATCGCGACCCGCGGCGGCGGCGGTGGCGACGGTGACGGTTATCGTTATTATTATAATTATGGTTGTTGGCGCGTAAGCTGGGCCACCGGGCCCCGTTCCCGCCCACCGTCATCCGTCGCCCCCCCCCACCATCACCACCACCACCTGCCCCCCACTCGCGTGCCGGGCGCGGCGTGCTCGCTGTACATACCTGTACATTGCCTACCCCCCCCCCTCCCCACCGCGCCCCCCTTATCATTATTACTGCTATCGTTATTATTACTGCGTGTATTTTATTTCACGTCCGTTTATAATTATTATCGTACTTTTCATTTTGTTTTATAAACCCGCCCCCCCCCCCCTTCTAGAAGGAAGCAATTGTAGCTAGAGTTGTGAGGACTGCTCCCCCCACCCACCCACCCCCCACCCCCCCACCATCATCCCCAGTGCTTAATGGTGGGGGGAGGGGCGGGGTTCCCCCGTGCCAGTGTACAGCCTCCCTCCTGCGTCCAGCCAGCGAGCGACTCCTCCTGCCGCGCCAGCCGCCCCCCTCGCGGGAAGACTTGAGGAGCGACGCGAGAGGGCACCGCTGCTTGGCGCCAGAGTCCTCCGCATCTTTGTATTGCCCAACAGCTCGCTCCCCCAGCCCCCCCCCCTCCCCCCCCCCCCCCCCCCCGTGTACATTCTGCCCACGGCGAGGTGACCCCCCGCCCCTCGCCCCTGCCACCCCGTGCCATTTATTCTTTATGAATCTTTATACTGTATGTCCCCCCTCCCCCGCCCCCCCCCCCCCCCATGGTAAAAATAAATGTACATGAACCGCTTTCTACACGTCCAGTTGTGACCCGGACTCTCCACCCTCATCACCCGCGTCTCTTCCAAGTCAGCCCTGGGTCCAGCCTTGGGTCAGACCTGGGTCAGACCTGGGTCAGCCCTGGTCCAGCCCTGGGTCAGACCTGGGTCAGCCCTGGGTGAGACCTGGTCCAGCCCTGGGTCAGCCCTGGTCCAGACCTGGTCCAGCCCTGGGTCAGCCCTGGGTCAGCCCTGGGTCAGACCTGGTCCAGCCCTGGGTCATCCCTGGGTCAGCCCTGGCCCAGCCCTGGGTGAGCCCTGGGTGAGCCCTGGGTGAGCCCTGGGTGAGCCCTGGTCTAGCCCTGGTCTAGCCCTGGTCCAGACCTGGGTGAGCCCTGGGTCAGCCCTGATCCAGACCTGGGTGAGCCCTGGGTGAGCCCTGGGTGAGCCCTGGGTGAGCCCTGGGTGAGCCCTGGTCCAGCCCTGGTCCAGCCCTGGGTCAGACCTGGGTGAGCCCTGGGTGAGCCCTGGGTGAGCCCTGGTCCAGCCCTGGTCCAGCCCTGGGTCAGACCTGGGTCAGACCTGGGTCAGACCTGGTCCAGACCTGGTCCAGCCCTGGTCCAGCCCTGGGTCAGACCTGGGTCAGACCTGGTCCAGACCTGGTCCAGCCCTGGGTCAGCCCTGGGTCAGCCCTGGGTCAGACCTGGGTCAGTCCTGGGTCAGCCCTGGGCCAGCCCTGGGTCAGCCCTGGGTCAGCCCTGGGTCAGCCCTGGGTCAACCCTGAGTCAGCCCTGGGTCAGCCCTGGGTCAGCCCTGGGTCAACCCTGGGTCAACCCTGAGTCAGCCCTGGTCCAGCCCTGGGTCAGCCCTGGGTCAGCCCTGGGTCAGACCTGGGTCAGCCCTGGTCCAGAGTTGGGCCATTATTGGGTCTCATGTAAACCGCCCTGTCTCCGCTGCTGGCCTGATCAACAATAATACTAATAATGTCTTAACGAGTCTCAAGACGTGCTTTCAGGAAGGCCCCGTGCTGGGATGTTTGGCCGATTGTCGATGTCGTCTTTGGCTTCGATTGGGAGGAGACCTCGGTGCTTGGAGAGAGAGAAAAAAAAAACCCCCGCCATGGTGCGATGGTCCGCGTACAGGACTGGCCATCCAGAGGTCTCGCTGGTTCAGTTCCATCTCCCGACGCTGCAGTTGCAACAATGGGGCAGACATCTCAAATCCCCCCCCCCCCCCTCCCCACGCCAAAGCCTCTGTCCACCCAGCGGTGTCAGAGGTCGCCGGTTTGATCTCGCGGGGCGTGGCGGTGGGAAAGATTTGGTGCGGTTTTATTGAATCGCTCCCCCACCCTGAGGACACCACAGTCGGATTGACCGGCAGGTCGCGTGCAGTGGGGTGATTTTGACTTGAAACTTTCGTGACTGCAGGAATTCTTATTCTATGGTTCTTTCGGTGAAGTCGTGTAGATACAAAAAATACCAATAAAATCACGAAAATTAAAATGAATGAAAAAAATAATAATAATATCACGTTTGTTATCGCAACACAAGCGGTCGTTCTTGATGACGACCTATTGTGTTGCGATCGAAACGTCGTGATATTTTTTTATTTTGTATTCACTTTATTAAAAAATTTCTTATTTTATTATTATTTTCTATATCTACGTGACTTTACCGAAATAACCACAGGATATGGTGGGGTAATGTGTGGGTACTCCCATATCTTCCAACACGGTTTGGCCAGCATGGAAGAGTAGGCCAATAGCACTCGGGTCTCGAGGGACTCCTTTCTTGTGGAGGCCCTTCTGGCACCAGTGGCGACGTCAAGAAGTTTCAGGGCCGAGGGAAAAACCGGAGGACCCGGAGAAAAATCCACGCGACCACGGAGAGAGAGACACGCAAACTCCAAATATACAGCAGCAGGCGTCAGGGTGGGATCAAACCCACGACCTCCTGTATACCAGGCGAGGTAGTTAACATATCATAGCCACCGTGATGATGATGAGAGAGAGACACGCAGACTCCAAATATACAGCAGCAGGCGTCAGGGTGGGGATCGAACCCACGACCTCCTGTATACCAGGCGAGGTAGTTAACATATCATAGCCACCGTGATGATGATGAGAGAGAGACACGCAGACTCCAAATATACAGCAGCAGGCGTCAGGGTGGGGATCGAACCCACGACCTCCTGTATACCAGGCGAGGTAGTTAACATATCATAGCCACCGTGATGATGATGAGAGAGAGACACGCAGACTCCAAATATACAGCAGCAGGCGTCAGGGTGGGGATCGAACCCACGACCTCCTGTATACCAGGCGAGGTAGTTAACATATCATAGCCACCGTGATGATGATGAGAGAGAGACACGCAGACTCCAAATATACAGCAGCAGGCGTCAGGGTGGGGATCGAACCCACGACCTCCTGTATACCAGGCGAGGTAGTTAACATATCATAGCCACCGTGATGATGATGAGAGAGAGACACGCAGACTCCAAATATACAGCAGCAGGCGTCAGGGTGGGGATCGAACCCATGACCTCCTGTATACCAGGCGAGGTAGTTAACATATCATAGCCACCGTGATGATGATGAGAGAGAGACACGCAGACTCCAAATATACAGCAGCAGGCGTCAGGGTGGGGATCGAACCCACGACCTCCTGTATACCAGGCGAGGTAGTTAACATATCATAGCCACCGTGATGATGATGAGAGAGAGACACGCAGACTCCAAATATACAGCAGCAGGCGTCAGGGTGGGGATCGAACCCACGACCTCCTGTATACCAGGCGAGGTAGTTAACATATCATAGCCACCGTGATGATGATGAGAGAGAGACACGCAGACTCCAAATATACAGCAGCAGGCGTCAGGGTGGGGATCGAACCCACGACCTCCTGTATACCAGGCGAGGTAGTTAACATATCATAGCCACCGTGATGATGATGAGAGAGAGACACGCAGACTCCAAATATACAGCAGGCGTCAGGGTGGGGATCGAACCCACGACCTCCTGTATACCAGGCGAGGTAGTTAACATATCATAGCCACCGTGATGATGATGAGAGAGAGACACGCAGACTCCAAATATACAGCAGCAGGCGTCAGGGTGGGGATCGAACCCACG